TAAAGTGAAGTGTCAGCAGAAGGTTTGTCCTAACTGAACGTTATTTATGTGTTCACAGAGACATTAAGCCAGACAACATTTTGCTGGACGAGCACGGTAAGTCCTAAAGATACTATAAATCACCATCACGTCTGCTGTTAGTGCTTCTTGTTATGACAAGCATCATTATTACTATTGCTCAGACTGACTCTCTCTCTTTCTGACTTGTTGAGTGATAACACTGGTGACAGAAAGGCATTGAAGGTTATTCATGGCAGATGCTTCACACTGGTCTGGATAACCGGTGTTGTCAGGGAGAAAAAGCAACCTGCATAATTTTTCATCAGTATGATAATAGGCAGGGGAATATTAATGTGAAGATAGTTATGACCTAAACAACAACAAACAGCAGGTGGTTGAAGACAACAGGGAGGGCCAGTGAATTTTCTCTACCTCGACTTTTTCTCTTACACTCTTTAGTGAGGAAATCAACAATAGCCATGCAATTTTCAGTAGCTTTGGTTCTGGAAGCATTCATTTTCTCCACAGAGATTTCTAAAACAATCTTCATTAAAGAGCTAAGCTGAGAGCCAAACCAAAATCAATGTCAGAATTAGAAACTTTGCATCAAGAGTATCTGAAAATCAGCAAAATGTCAATTTTAGGCACTTTTTATTGTGTATATTTTGACACTGCATCCCAGTTATCCAAATCAGTGTGCATGTTGAAAGAAAGATACCTGGATGGTCTATTTTTGTTGGACTGGAAGTCGCAGATCCATGCACACTTTAACAAGACAATGGCACAACCCATTGGATTTTCAGACCTATATGTTTTCTTTAACATTAAAGGAGACAAGCATCACCTACAGGTTCTTTATTGGCATCTGTGGTTCCATGAAGAACCTTTAACATCCATGGAAATGTTCCATTCCACAAAGGCTTCTATGTAGTGCAAAATGGTTGTTTAGATTTTTTAAATGTTCTTTACACTAAGACAAAATGGTTATTTTAACCCTCTGGGCCTCTTTGGTGACTTTTGATTGAAAAAAATTAAATAGTAGCTTTATCGGATGGTGACTTTGTCACATTAGCTATATGAACACAAAAAAAAATCACGATTCGGATATGTTAAAGAGCAGGTCATATGGTATTTTAAAGTGTCCTAATATTGTGTTGGAGTCCCCTACAACAGGTTTAAATGCATCTAAGGTCAGAAAACATTTCAATTTTTTCAGAATATACATTTAATATTAGAGTCATTTGCCAATGATTTCTAAATGGTTCGTTCCAAGCAAGTTCGGAGCAAACCCCTCCATTCCATAAGCCTACTCTGCTCTGATTGGTCAGCTGGCCAAACATGTTGTGATTGGCAGGGTTCACAGCGAATTATCAGAACTACTTCAGTAAGACCGTAATATCATGCTTTACCTGGAAACCTAAAGCTGCGCTAGGTGTACATCACATATTAGCACAAAAACTTGATATTTTGAGCACTCAATTGAAAATGTACACATAACGTATCAATCGTACTTACAGGTTGTGCTTCGGAGAGCTTGTTAGTCCAAATTAAGAAGATAGAAGAAGCCAACGAAGATAAAAGCCAAGATTAGAGAAGCAGTCCTTAGTAAAAAATGAAATGCATTCATTGTATTTCTGTGGTATCCTTGAACACAGCGTCTTCTCAACATGATGTAAACACACTAACTAGCGGAAGTGTTTGTGGGCGGGTCAGACTCGTGGGCAGGCGGGGATTATGCAAATGTGTTACCCAGAGACGTATACCGGTAACAGGCAAAAGATTCGAAAATATGACGACTCGTTAAGGAATCGACTCTCTCTTTTGAGAGACTATATCTTTATCATGCACTTTTTTGATTAACAACTTTGCAGATTGTTTTCATTTAAGGATAGCTACGTTATAAACTGCAAACGAGATATTTTTCAAAAACCCATATGACTGATGTATAAATAATAATAAAAATATATATTATTGAACAAAAATTATAATAGATTGATTTTCCTGAAAATAAATAAATACACACATACATACATACATACATAAAGTTACATTTCAAGACTGCAAAAGACTTGGTACTTTAGACTGCAAAAGTACCAAGTTTGACCCAAAAATGAAGAGGCCCAGAGGTTTAAGAGCTGTTCACTGAAAGGTTCTTTCAGGAACCATAAATGGTTCTTCTATGACATTGCTGCGAAACCCCCTTTTTGGAGGCTTTATTTTTACAGTGTACAGTTTTTGTCCTTTAACGTGCCTCAGCTAGACATCTGTTCCTGTGCTCAAGAACATCAGTGGGGTTTTCTGTTTTGGTCTAGGTTGCTTCTGTCTGTACAGATTTATGTCAGTGGTCTCAGAGCAGTTGTTTCAGATTCAGATTGTGAAAGCAGAATGTGATGGAAATAGTGATCTGTTGTTTTCACCAGACAGCACTAAACACTTCCTGTGGCTCTGACACAGACTTTTACGACCCTTAATACCTCTCCCATTCACACACTGAGTTAACTCAATTTTCAGGGAATATTTTGTTTCTGTGGGTTGATTTAGGTCTGTAAATTTACACATTGCACTGAAAAAAAATTATTCATTGAATATACAAAAATTTTTAAGGTAAGTGGTTGCAATCAATGTATTTTAGCTACATTTAAATAAACAAATTTAGTTGACTAACTTTCAACATTTTTTTTATTTAAATGTAGCTAAAATAAATTGTTTGCAACCACTTACCTTAAAAAAATTTAGTATAATTTTTTTCAGTGTGTGTATATATGTGTGTACATGATATATCAATATATATATATATATATACATACATGAACCGACAATTAAAATAGTGCAGACAGAATACAAGAACGTGTTTTTAGAGAGATTTGCAAACTCGATTGAATGGATTGCTGTGGCTTACGTGCAATATCATTGAAACAAAACAAACAATACATTGAGTTTTAAAGCCTTTTTGAAATATCTAATCAATTCTTTAACCCAATAATGTAATTTCTCTAAATATTCTCTGTATATTATTATTCTTCTTCCGCACTGGAAGTCTATGGTAGCCCATAGAACCGCTTGCGGGAAAGTTATGAAATTTGGCACACTGATAGAGGACAGTCTCAACATTAACCATAGAAAATTTGGAGTCTCTGACTCAAGCTCTCTAGCGCCACCACTTGTCCAAATTTTCTCTCATGTTTATGCTAATAACTTTTGAACCATAAGGCACAGAAGGAAAATTCTTTTTTTTTCATCTGAATCCTTGGCTGATGCCAAGTCAAATGAACACCAACATTTAAAAATCGTATGGTTTAGTTTTTTCGCTATTGTTAATAGCTCGAAAAACCTACTTTTTCAAACTCGTCCTGGACGGTTTGTCTGATTTTCGTCAAAATTAGCTCAGATCATCTTCAGACCATGCTGGCAAAAAGTTATAGAATTCATGTTGATTCGTCAAACCGTTCTCGAATAACGCACAAATGAATTTGACGAAAAGCCCGCAAAAATGGATGTGAGGCTGTATCTTTTCAACGGTTTGGCGTATTGAGATCCAAACTTGGTGTATGTTATAACAAGCCCATGCCAAAACATCCATTTGCTTTTAAGTGAAAACCTGACTGACATTTGGCAGTCGAAATGCTTTTCAAAGCCATTCGCTCAGCTTACAGACACACAGCAGTGCTGCTTTTAACCCCTGGAGGGTGTCTGGAAAGTGCTGACTCCTGCAGACCTCACATCTAGAGGAGGTGCTCTCCACAGCTCACAGGACAGTCGGGTTTTACTCCCTGAGGAATGAGAGGTACATTACCTCCTTTGCCTTTTATTACACTTTATTTTAAGCTCCAATTCTCACTATTAACTGCGACTTTTGCCTCAATAAACTCCTAAATTACTGCGTGTTAATAGTTAGTAAGGCAGCTTGGTTTCAACTAGTGCTGTCAAACGATTAATCGCGATTAATCGCATCCAAAATAAAAGTTGTTGTTTACATAATATATGTGTGTGTCCTGTGTATATTTATTATGTATATATAAATACACACACATACAGTATATATTTTGAAAATATTTACATGTATATATTTATAGTCATACAATTTATATTATATATAAATATATTTAATATATAAACAACATATTTTTCTGAAAGATATACATGCATGTGTGTGTATTTATATATACTTAATAAATATACACAGTACACACACATGGGTCAAAGACGTTAAGATGTCCGCATCAAAAGAAATGTACAAAAGTGATTTTATGTCCATAGAAAGCACATTAAATGTAAGTAAAGTGTCTACTTTTAAGGTTTCAAATTCGTTTTTGGAGAATAAAATGTCAAAATCTGGTTGAAATAATGTTACTTTGTCATTCAGTGTAGCACAACATTTATGTAAAAATTCAAACAACATGCTTATTCTGATCTGTACATGTTAAAATATATAAAAGAATAAGGGAGCATATTACATTTGATTGTGTTTTTAAATGAGTAAAAAATTCTAACTGACAAATGGGTGAAAACTAGGATAGTGACAAATTTTAAAAATGTAAAATTACAACTGATTAGTATTTGGGGTGAAAGTAATTAGTCTTTTAATATGTCATAAATAGATTTTTGTTGTAAATATGCCTGACGAGATTGTTACACTGAATGACATTTTAGTGGCTCTCTTCTGTAAATCAGGGGAACATGTATGATATTTAATTTTTGCTCTGAAAAACAAAAACAAAAATACAATTAAATTAAACAGCAACAATTTAAAGCAGTATTATACTTATTTACACCCTTTTTCGTCTTTGACCCACATATATTATGTAAACAAAAACTTTTATTTTGTATGCGATTAATCGTTTGACAGCACTAGTTTCAATAAAAGCTGTTTTTGGACTATCAGGAAATTTTGAGTTCTGAAACTAACAGGATGTTTTTGTACTACAATAACCTCTTATAGCATGTCAAAATATCATTTTGACTTGATTTCTGAACTCACGACTCCTTTAAAAACAGAAGACTGCAACGGAATAGCTATGCATACAAATGAGATTGTTGCTGTGCAGGAAACTCTTTCGTCTTCTCCTTATCACTGATGTCCTCTGTCGGTGTGTAAATAATGCAGCTGCTGCATGAAGGTGTTTTACATTCATATCAACACTGCACACATCCACAGCATCTACTCTCTCTGTGATATCATTTTGAGATATTGGGCTATTTTGCTTTCATAACATGTCAACTTTGAGACTAGTGGGAGAAAAAGAAGCATCCAAAATTAGGGTTGCAAAGGGGGTGGAAAAAATTCCGGTAAATTTCCAGAAACTTTCCAAAAATCCCTGGAATATTCCAAAAAATCCTGGAAAATTTCCAAAATTGACTGGACATTTTCCACCTTTTTGCAACCCTATCCAAAATACACATTTAAGTGTTTATTTTATTACACTTGATTGATTAGCATCTTTTCTTGAGTTTTTTCTCATTGACTGAGCCGTAAATCTCAAGAGATTTCATTTGCACATTCATACACCAAACTATCCAGCTTTATTTCTGTCGATATTCTGCAGGTTTCTACAGAGAGCTTTGTTAATATGTAATTCACCCTGATATATTTACCATTTTATTCCTAACACTTTTAACAAGAATTTTTAACCTGGCTTTATCCAGTGTTCTGATTTCTGTTCTGGAAATGTATGCAAATTCATGAATACCTAATTAGACAATTAAACATTTGAATATTTTTAAACATACCATTTAAGAAAACTTGTAATACAAAACAGTTGCCTCATAATGTACTTTGATTAATCAACAGGAGAAAATATGTTGATATTTATTATTAAAAATATTTACTCTTTAGCATGTGCCAAATTATTGTACTCTTTTGAAATACTTTTATACTATTTTCAATGTGTAACTTACCAAATTAGATTAAATTTTTGTTACAAAAATCACCATGTTATTAAAAGGTCAATTTTTGTGATATGTTATGACACTTATAAGTTATCGCAGTTCTAAACCCTGTTTTTAACCCCGGGTGAAGAAATGTTTCACACTTGTCATTTAGAAGCATGGTTAGGACCGCTTTTTACCCGGGGTTATGAAACCGGAGTGTTTGCGGTGTTAAACTTGTGCCGTGTCAAACAATGCTGTGTTAGAATATTGCGGCTGGATGCTAATTATATTATAATACATGCTTTGCAGTTGACATTGCCAGTGACTACTTGTTTTGTCTTTTGAAGCCTCTTAAAAGCATGAAACTGAATTATGCTTGTGACTCAAGTTAGATAAAAACAGCTAGAGAAGGACTGGGACTGTGCACATTGTTCGGTGTTGTCAGTGCGTCGTTTAATTAGTTACACAGCTGAGGTGATTGCCTAAAAAAAAAAGGACAGAAATCTAAGTGCTAGAAAATAAGATGGCATCATGCATGTCACATACTTTCAGTCCTGCTCCAACTGAGCAAATGCCATTGAGATGAATGGCAATGCAAATGGATAGCTTTCTCCAGATATCATATACCTTGCATGCATTGATTTCATGATGTAGTAGTATGCCCCATGATTTCAGCAGTGAGTACTTTCCCATCACCAGCAAAACAAATGCTTGGTAGTATGCAAATAGGGATGCAATTAGCATGAGACCATCAATCTCTGGCATCTGGCATTTGCGTTCATATCTTGTGTACAGTATATGGTTTTATTTAGCATTTATCTCTTTGCAGGTCACGCTCACCTGACAGATTTTAACATCGCTGCTATTGTGAAGGAGGACTTAAAAGCCACATCTATTGCAGGGACAAAACCATACATGGGTGAGAGCTTTCATACTTCTATTTAACACTGCTTTATTTGTGCGATTTAACACGATGTCAGTCAAAGGTTGCTTATATTTTTTACTCTGTCATTAACAATCGTACAGTTATGTTAAATTCACAGGTAAGTCGTTTTCACAGTTTAAACGAAACCTTATTAGAAGTCAGTGAACCATCAAAAAGATTTTGAAACTCATATTTCAAGGTAAAATAAATACAAACGGTTGCTTTAATGCTGCATTCACAGCATATTGTAATTTGTCGAAATGCAAAATGTTGCTTATCTCAATACATTCAGTTTTGAATTACATGAATAATGTAAATGATAGCATATTTTCTATTTAAAACAACAACATTTGAGGAAAAATATTTGAGTAGGTTGCATTAATAGATATTAATAAATTATTAAATATTTAGCAGCTTCTTACCTTGTTCTCTTGCACCGTTAAAACTGAAGCATCGCATTAGCGTTCACACTCTGCTTCTGTGGAGATTTAAATGAAATATTGAATTACGCACCACAGTTAAAATTATAATCAAGTACTTTACATGCTAATGTTTTTAAACATGTACGAATAACATTATTGATATATAACAGTATTGATATATTGATTTTATTGGAGTAAAAATGCTGGAAACATATAATCTGCTGTTGTCTTGTCTGTTGTTGCAGCCCCAGAACTATTCCAGTCGTTCGAGGGAACACGCCCGGGTTACTCTTTCGCAGTGGACTGGTGGTCTTTAGGGATCACTGCGTATGAGCTTCTCCGTGGACAGGTGAGGGTCTCTCAACCATCTGATCTGAGATCAGTATTAGCGCCAGAACCAATGCAGAACATGGTGAGCCATATTAGCTAGCGTAAAATCTTATTTCACGGTATGAGAAATTTTATTTCACGATAACGATATATATTTCTCGATATACCTTTTTTTGCAAATTTACAACACAATAGCACAAATAAATATAAAATAAACTTTTAATTTATTCAGCTACAGTAGGCTACAGTAGCTTTATTTAAAATGTAGTAAGAAATTTTACAGAAATTGAATGGTGTATAAATAAAACACTGCATAGTCTTCACTGTATCAATCAAACATGAACTGATTCTTATTAAAGATCCACAAGTGATTCAGTCAAGTGCAGGGAGTGATTAACATTAATGACACAGACAGCAGCAGGTAAATTAGACTGCTGTCCCTTTAAGACCAACTGCACGGATCCAATATACTGATACACATCCGGTTTTTACATTTATTTAACACATAACCGACTGTGTTTACGCGAATACTCCACACAACGGGCATTTTGACATAATTGTGTGCGTATTTGACCATTCAAGCACGAAAGAGATCTGTTTGTGCGATCACATGCTGTCTGAGAGGGGCTTTCAGTGCGCGCACTTCTGCTGTGTGTCAGTCAGCGCGAGCAGCAGATTGAGTTCTTTTTCACTGCTTATTGCGCTTAATAACTATCAAGTGCGTCCCACTCTTAATTTTCTCATTCATGCATGTTTCCTTGTCACGTCAAGGTGTATATAACTTTTACGTACGCAGATATATTTGCATACCGCGGAGATAGCAAAATCTCTAACGATAGACACTTTATTCTGCGGTAACGATAACATCATACTGCCCAGCCCTAGCATAAATCCTACTAATCCTGCTCATGATCTGCTGGGAATCAAACTGAACAAGAAATAGATGTTTCATTGACTGTCGGCTTTACCTCTTTAGAGGCCGTACATCATGCGCGCCAACACACCAGCCAATGAGATCCTGCAGACTTTCCACAAAGCGCACCCCTGTTACACCGCCGCCTGGTCTACAGGGATCAAATCACTCTTACCAAAGGTAACATTAATCACACGAACAGTACTGTAGTCATGCTTTATTTATTTGATAATTACAGTCATGTTTAGGATCAGTCATGATCTAGTGGCGTATGAAACATGCAGTGTGTCTGCTTCTGTTGTCAGCTGTTGTGTGTAGACGCTCAGAAGAGGATTTCCAGTCTCTCGGAGCTCCAGGACCTGGAATACCTCTCTGATGTCAATTGGGATGCTGTGCTTAACAAACAAATCCCACCTGGATTCCTCCCTGATGTAATTATATAACACACACACACACACACACACACACACACACTGCAAATAAAGAGACATGCACATATTCCATATGAATGATTTGAACTGAGATATGGATATGCTTTAAAGGGACAGTTCACCTAAAAGTGAACATTGTCATAATTTACTCACTCTAATCTTGTTCCAAACCTGTATGAGTTTCCTTCTTCCATTGAACACAAAAAAGATATTTTGAAGAATGTTGAATTTTTTTTAATGCAATCTTTGTGTTGTTTGATCTTAATAAAAGTGTCAATCTTGTATATATTAATTTAATTAATAAAACTTATTTTTAGAAGTTCTACACTGTTCAGATCGTATACATTTACACTATAATAACAGCAGTAAGTCTTTATAAAAAACTTCAATATAAAAAATTCAGGTGTTCACAATAATAAAGACATTCATAAAACCACAACGACTGCCGGTTTTCACAATGTTCTGCTTACAGAGCGCGTTTGCAGGCTCAGCTGGTTTAATTTGCGCTATGCTTGGCAAACCTCGTGCAGATTTATGATGATTGGTCTGGACTGAAGAGGTTTCATGCAGTGAATCTTGGGAGCAAAGTGTTCATCAGTTAAACTCTACAAAAACATACATTTAAGAAGCCTTTTTTGGTTCTGAACATTTCTGTTTGTTTGTTCTCCATTCAGAGTGACCATAAGCATTATTTATGCCATTTGGAAAGCACTGTAAGAATGATAAATTCCAAAACTGGCTGAGATCTGAGAAAAGCTCTGGCACTATTTTAGCCACTTACCTAAATATTCTGCAATCTGTGCATATCTAATGTGATGACATGTAGGCATTTTGAAGTGTGATGTCAGTGTCTGAACTCTTTTTAGGGCCACTGTACTGTATAAGACAACTACTGAATGTACCAACAATCATTTATGGTAAACTAAAATTTGCTTTAATGTCATTTTATATTTATTTGTAATTACACATTTGTAATGATAAAGCTGGAATTTTAGAACATTTAAAATATATTCATTTTAAATGTAATATCAAAAAACACACTAAAGTGCTTTTGTTTTTCATTTTGTACAATTCTTTGAGGTCCACTTATAACGTTATCAAGCTTTTACATAAAAAAACATCATAATTTAGATGTAGAAGCTATTTTATGTCCTGTTTTTAACCCCCCTTATCAGAACGTCAACACTGTAAACATGCAAACGATGCAAACACTGTTTTAACTTGGCACTGCACAGCATCTTGTTGTCTTCGGAGTATCTTTATTGTTTGGTTTCTGCATAGACCTGCGCTTTCGCCTCTCTCGTAAACACTGTAGCCCTATTCGGACGGGACTAACATCTCCGTGTTTATTACAGAAGTGGGAGGGTCTGTTTTGTATATCTGGGCATTGCAGAGATCACGCGTTCTGCATGCGTGCTATGCATATAGTAATTTGGATTAATTACCATAGTATAACCACAGTTTTACTACAGATATGGTGATGCTATATGGCTAGTAGAGCAAAACCATGGTTAATGTGTGGTTACTTTAGTTAAAGTATTTTATGTTTTTATTTATTTGTAGTAAAACCATGTTAACGATGCAAACACTGTTTTAACTTGGCACTGCACAGCATCTTGTTGTCTTCGGAGTATCTTTATTGTTTGGTTTCTGCATAGACCTGCGCTTTCGCCTCTCTCGTAAACACTGTAGCCCTATTCGGACGGGACTAACATCTCCGTGTTTATTACAGAAGTGGGAGGGTCTGTTTTGTATATCTGGGCATTGCAGAGATCACGCGTTCTGCATGCGTGCTATGCGTATAGTAATTTGGATTAATTACCATAGTATAACCACAGTTTTACTACAAATATGGTGATGCTATATGGCTAGTAGAGCAAAACCATGGTTAATGTGTGGTTACTTTAGTTAAAGTATTTTATGTTTTTATTTATTTGTAGTAAAACCATGTTTAATTTTTCTTAAAGGTACATATGTAATTAAAACATTATGTCATTGAGTGCAGAATTGAACGTGAGTAATCTTACATGATGCTGATATTACAGTAGCCAGTCTTAGCAGTTTACTTGATTTGGCTCTTGATTTTATTTTTTATTTTTTTATTTCTTTTCCGGGAGGCAAACATATAAAAATTGCGTGCAGTAAGAGCGTCTGCGGTAGTTCACGTTGGCCCAAGGAAACGCTTTGTGAAAAAATATCGTCTGCAATCACAGAAATTCGCATTCGGATGGGATTTAGTTTTCTCAGAGCATCACTTTTTTGTTTTTTGTTTTAGAGTTTGCCATAAAACAGTCGATCATTTGCTCTGGAATTGTTACAGAGGTTGTGCAAGAAAAAAACACATGTGTGGCAGATTTGGATGGGTTTAAAATCTGAAAGTACATCTGTGAAACACAAATTTCTCTAACGACCCCCTGTAAAATTAGTCCTGTCCAAATAGAGCTTATGCGCAAATTGATGGGCGGGGCTAAACAAGGAGTAATGTAGAATCGGTGGGCGGGGCTAAACAGGCAGTGATGTAGAATCGGTGGGCGGGGCTAAACAGGCAGTGATGTAAAATCAGTGGGCTGGACTAAACAGGCAGTGATATAGAATCGGTGGGCGGGGCTAAAGAGGCAGCTATGTAGAATCGGTGGGCGGGGCTAAACTGACAGTACTGTAGAATCGGTGGGCGGGGCTAAACAGGCAGTGATGTAGAATCGGTGGGCGGGGCTAAACAGGCAGTGATGTAGAATCGGTGGGCGGGGCTAAACAGACAGTGATGTCGAAGGACGTTGATCTTCTGCAGTGGCGGCGTTTATCCACACTATTACATCGTAGAGTAGAACATTCAACAAGCTGTCGTTTTGGCAGACTGCCTTCAATATAAGCTGTTTTTAGACTAACAAGAAAGTTTAAAGTTCCGAAACTTACAGGATGTTTTTATAGTACAATGACAATTGTATAGTGCAATGTGAAAAGATGTTGGTTTCTCAGTTCATGACCCCTTTAATGTGTTAGTCGACACAAAAATAAGTGTACTCTAAAGCACAACAAGAGATTATAGAAACGTCATTTAAAATGTATAAAGTAAAAAATTACAGTGCACTTTTTAAAAGTGTATTAAAATTGCCATGAAAGTGTACTGTCTTTATATACACGTAAATAACTTTACGTTAATATTACATTATGTGCTAGTTCAGTTTAAATAAACAATACTTTTAAGATTTGCAGTACACTATAAATGCACATTCACTAGAATGAATCATCCTTTTTCACAAGGGTGTAACTGTAGTATGGAAATAGTGCTTGCCAATAAATGTTCAATTGTTCATGGGCACATTGTACAGTACATAAATGAGTGTTTGTGTGATGGCAGAGGCGGCGACTAAACTGCGACCCCACATTTGAGCTGGAGGAGATGATCCTGGAATCCAAACCACTGCACAAGAAGAAGAAGAGGCTGGCGAGGAAGACGAGGGAGAGCGGCTCTGATGGATCTCCTCAGGTAGCATCTCACTGTCATTACTTAAGAACATAGTCTTTGTTTAAAAAAATATATAAAAATTGTTATGCAATAAGACATAAAACAATTGAAGTCCTGTTTATTACGTTACCATGTTTCCCTTGAGTTTTTCTGCAATGGCTCTCTTCTTTGTTTGTCAGTATGAGTCATTTCTCTGAAGGATTTGTTCAATGGGAGATCAGAATCGTTGACCTTTAGAAACATTAACTTTTTCGTTTTTGCACAATGATTTAATTACTCACTGATCTTTTGTTTTGTTTTTTTGATTAAGAAGATACATTATACAGAATTTTAACTGCAGAGAATTATTCAATATTGCATTTAATGTGAAAATATTTAACATTTATTAAATTGTAATGTCATTTCAAATGTGTAATTACAAATATATTTAAATATGTGTCAATAGAAATAGAAATTATTAGTGCATATTTCAAATGACCATAAATCCATGTCAGTACATTCAGCAGTACACTTATAATAGAACAATTATGAAATTACATATAAAGATGTATTTAAGTGGGTTAAAGGGGATAGTTCACCCAAAAATGGAAAATGACATCAATTATTCACCCTCATCTTGTTCCAAACCTGTATGAGTCTTTTTTTTTCTCCCCCCGTTGAACAGTTTCCAAATAGTTTCTGGTAGCCATTGATTTCCATAATATTCTTCAAAATATCTTTTCTTGTTACAACCCCAATTCCTGAGAAGTTGGGACGTTTTGTAAAAATGCAATAAAATCAAGAATCTGTGATTTGTTCATTCTCTTTAACTTTTATTTTAATTGACAAAAGTACAAAGAAAATATTTCTGAAGTTTTCACTGACCGACGTAAATGTATTTTGTAAATATGAACAAATTTTGTTTTTGACGGCTGCAACACATTCCAAAAAAGTTGGGACAGAAGCAAAATAAAAGTGAAAAGGTTAAAGAATATCCACAGAAAGCAGGTGAATTGGTAATAGATGAGGGGATCATGTTTGGGTATAAAAGGAGCATCTCAGTCTTTGCAAGCAAAGCTGTATCATGGCTCATCACTTTGTGCCAAATTTCATGAGAGAAGTGTCAAATCAAACAAATCAAAAATCACATTCCGCAATGCAAAATTGCAAAGAATTTTGGTCTTTCACCAACTACCACACGTAATGTTGTGAAAAGATTCAGGGAATCCAGAGAAATCACAGTGCATGTAGGGCAAGGCAGGAAAGCTCAGGTGAATATGCTTGACCTTTGAGCCCTCAGATGGCATTGCATAAGAAACTGTCATGCTGCGGTGTAAAATATAGCCACATGGGCTCAGGAGTACTATTGAAAACTGCTGTCACTTAACACAGTCTGCTGCTGCATCAAGAAATGCAACTTGAAACTCTGTTACTCTAGAAGAAAGCTATACATCAATTATATGCAGTGATGCCGCTGGGTTCTCTGGGCCAGAGCTCATCTCAGATAGCCAAAAACACAGTGGAAAGGTGTGCTGTACTCAGATGAGTCCACATTTCAACTTGTTCTACCACACGTAATGTTGTGAAAAGATTCAGGGAATCCAGAGAAATCACAGTGCATGTAGGGCAAGGCAGGAAAGCTCAGGTGAATATGCTTGACCTTTGAGCCCTCAGATGGCATTGCATAAGAAACTGTCATGCTGCGGTGTAAAATATAGCCACATGGGCTCAGGAGTACTATTGAAAACTGCTGTCACTTAACACAGTCTGCTGCTGCATCAAGAAATGCAACTTGAAACTCTGTTACTCTAGAAGAAAGCTATACATCAATTATATGCAGTGATGCCGCTGGGTTCTCTGGGCCAGAGCTCATCTCAGATAGCCAAAAACACAGTGGAAAGGTGTGCTGTACTCAGATGAGTCCACATTTCAACTTGTTTCTGGGAAAAATGGATTTCGAGTTCTCAGTCCCAAAGACCAAAGGAACCATCCAGACTTTCATCAGCGACTGCTGAGCATCTGAAGCCTTGTTTCAAGAGACTGGGCAAAACAAATTTGCTTGCAAAGCTTTAGCAATCAGTATCCTTAATTCCCAAACAATGAAACATTGTAATTAAAAGGAAAGTTGATGTGACACAGTGTTAAACGTGCCACTGTCCCAACTTTTTTGGAGTGTGTCGCAGCCATCAAAATCTAAATTTGTTCATATTTACAAAATACATTTACGTTGGTCAGTGAAATCTTTGGAAATCTTTTCTTTGTACTTTTGTCAATTATATCAAAGTTAAAGAGAATGAACAAATCACAGATTCTTGATTTTATTGCATTTTTACAAAACGTCCCAACGTCTCTGGAATTGGGGTTGTAAAAAAAAACAAAAAACTCCGGTTTGGAGCAACTGATTAAATTATGACAATTTTACTTTTTGGGTGAAATGTCCCTATAAGTTCAACTAACTGCATTTAATGTAAATTAATAATAAATTATTAATTTAATATAAATAATATAATAATTTAATATAAATATAATAATACATTTCCATTTAATTGTAAATAACATGCAATTAAGTGTCAGAAAACATTCCATTCCATTCACACTTATTTTTCTTAAAGTATAATTTTTCTATAATAATATACTGTTTTTAAAAGTATGCTAAAGAGTACTTCACAGAATGAAAGAAAGAATATAGGAGCTGGAGCTAGCGTTGTACGTGCACATTTTCTGAAGCAGTGAAGATCAATAAAGTATGACCAGTCCTGCCCTATACAGTATCTGCTCCTGACTCGGTTTCTCAGTTCTCTCCTCCCACTGACGTTTGTAATGTATGGAGAGATGAGCTCAATCCAATCACAGATAAATGCAGCGGAAAATTGAACACTTGTTGTGAGAACAAAATAAAGAGAAGCATCCCACGGTGACTGAGTTCACTCGCTGTTCAGAGGAATATTTCCCCTGTTTCTTCAGTCTGTGCTTCAGTACTGATTATTAGGAATGTCACAGTTACAACTAGTTGTCTGTCACATCATACAGTGCGCGAGAGAGCAGCACAAATGCGCATCTACCGTGTGTTGCGTGATTTCATGTTGGGTTACGGTAACTTACAGTGACGGAGAAATGAGCTGTGTGTCATCTGAAAGTTTTAGATCAAGAGACAGATTTACTAAACAGGGCAGATTAGCATTAGAGTGCAATTCCATAAAAGCGCCGATGGGAGGAGAAAATCCTGCATGTGATTTATTGACAATGCGCACATTAAAGCACACCGACGCAACATCTCATTTCCATAATGACCAGCGCAATTTACCAAGAGCAGCGCAAATTACCGCCTGCTTTAAGACTGGGTTTTAAATAATGGCGCAAATACTAGAAAATTGACAAGCGAAAACGTTAGTAAATCCTGTTGCGTGATTCATTTTAATACTCTCCTCCCATAAATTTTGCGTCTGAAAGAGAAACTTATTTTTAGTATTTCACAGTATTGAAATGCCTGAGCATTTCACAAAGCATTTTAGCACTAAAACTAGCTCCTAACTCTGTGAAACGTTAGGAGTAGTGAAGAGTTACTAAAACTAATCACAATTTATCCTCAAATAGCTGTTGCCGGCAATCTGCCTCGGAACGTAAACATTTTAGAAACATTTGACGATAATGTGCTTTTAAAAAGGTATCGCCTTTGGATTTGGAAATTATCCCAACTCCAAACTTTCCTTTGATTGTATCCTTGTTTTCATTAACCAGTTGGGCAAGAAGTAACAGATGTCCTTGCATCCAGTTTGGCTTTCGTTTACGTTTGCATGTCTTACTATCAGCCATGATTATTCTACTCTGTTAATTAAAAGGCTGTTTATATACATATTCACTCTTTTTTTTTACGAGAAGCATACAGGCTGACAATTACCTGAACATATACATATATATTATATTGTTTAATTAGTGACACTTAGCCTGCATTTTTAAACCTTTATTTGAATATGGCAACATAATATCACGCTCTACAATACTTCTATGAATGAATCTCTGAAAGAGATTATCAGCCAATCATTGTGTGCATAGTTAATAAGCATGCTGACAACATCCATAGCAATAAGGTCAACCCCGCCCCTTTACTCGTAGCTTAAAACTTCTCTCCATTCTTCAGTAGAGGTTTGTCTCAGCAGCTTTGTGAATATTAAGAGAAACTCTTAGCTAAAAACTTTTACTGCTATTTAGGAGAGTGGTAAGATAAAATGTTTTGTGAATATACGGGCCCAAGCCCCTAGTCCGCTCCGGTCAGCTTGGTGTTCTGCACGCGACTCAAGTGCTCCGCTCCCCACCCAAATATTACTACTGTCTGTTAATGAAGATTTGACGGATGAACTCACGACTGGACTCTTGTTGTGTCAGAAAGTGATAAGACTTTCAGTTTTATGGACGTCACCATCTTTGATTTTACTTTGGTCACTGTTGCTATGGTTACTGGTAAGGAATACGGGCTTGACTCCTGTTGCATACAGACAGCATACGAGACGCTACTGTAAGCTGCTGTGTGAACAGGACATTTCGAGTCTCACACCTTTAAGTAAATGCGGTTGTCAATCCAAAAAGCTAACAGTGTGAACGTAGCCACCGATTCTCTAAAACTAATGTCAAAGCGCATTGCTTAAAATGTTAGTTCACCGAAAATGGAAAAAAAAAAGTTTTTTTTTCTTCTGCGGAAGAAGACATAATGTGTGTTCAGCAGCTTGTGACTGGATTTCAAAGAGCTTTTTATTGGATGGAATGTGAAGGAGGTCTCTGCTGGATTGTAGCATGCTAAGCATCAGTCATGTTTATACTCGAGGAAATCCCTGCGCTGGTGGAGTTGCGTGGCTGGGTTTCTGGAGTAAGCACTAAACACTCAAATCACACCCAAACTCATGACTGCACACATTTACACCGGCAGCAGCTCTTGTCGTTTTGCTTTGCAGTACACATTTTGTGTTATATTAAGAGCCATCTAACGCTCAATACATGCTAGTCTCTAGTAGACAGACTTTAACTATCAGCTTAAATCGGGTGCACATTGCAGCTTGTTCAAGCCAAAACCATCCACTTCGAAGGATCTGGATGAGCAATCATAGTTGTTTTTTCTTGGTCATGTTTGGTGCAAGTAATTATTAAATAATGAAATTGCGCCCTCAGTTTTACTGCAGGTTTGAATGTGATGCTTAGTGTTTGTGTTAGCTGTAAAATCTGATGTAAAACGAGGAATACAGAATCTTATGTTTACTATTCAATTCAATCAAGTCAAAACAAGTCACTTAATTTATAGCGCTTTATACAATACAGATTGTTTCAAAGCAGCTTCACAGTATTAAACACAAAGAGCAATTGCTGACCAATAAAATATTTTAGAGCTTGACACTACTAGAATTAATTCGTATTTATTCTAGAAATTCACATACATTTTTAATGTCTGGAAATCATACTTTTATAATGTCTTCATATACAGTAACCAGGTTTGCCAAGACCAAATAACAATTGTTAAAGGAATACATTTAAAATGAACTAAATAAATTAAATTTGTTTAGCTTATTTTTAAACTTGTTTTGCATTATTTTGCAAAACATGCCCCATTAGAAGTGTGCTTTAAAAAAAAGTCACTAATTTGACAAGAAATTATTTCTTGCACATACAAATATCATTTTATAGACTGTAAAAAAATCCATAACAATAGGGCACAATGTACTGTGTTAATATGAATAATTTTTTTACTGGTGTTTTACCTGTATTTTGAAATATGCACTTCATTGCTTTGTGTTTTAGGGTTAATGCAGATGGTCGTAAAATACAACAAAAATGAATTAACATCCATTGGAATTGCTGAATGCCTGCATACATTGCATACATTGTATATTGGTCTGTGCTAAACAAACTTTTTATGAAATATGAAAAAGCTAGGTTAAAAAACAAGACATTTCTTATCTTTGTTTAATTTTTAAAAAGACAGCTGTCATGGTTTTGAGAAAATCCTGGTAACTGTATGAGGGAATTTTAAAAGTAATGGAACATGGAAAATTAATGTCAATTTCTAGAATTAATATGAATTTATTTTAGTTGTGTCAAGCTCTGTTTGTCAGAAACTACTATTTGAGGACAAACGCTAAATCGAACGAATGACATGTGCTGGTTATAAAAGCCCTGAAATACATTCAGTTCTTGAAAGCCTGGTATTATGGAATTATTTTAACGTTCATAGTTATATTTCCGTCATGACAACTCTCGGAGAGATTAGCATGGTAATATAGCTACAGGAGCGTGGCACTGTGCATCTGAAATCACCACGCTAATGAAAACATCAACCTTGAAAACAAATCAACGCACCATTGAGGTTAAACAGCTAAATATGGCGAACCCATGTTGAAAATGTATACAGCGCAAATTAGTATTTCACTTTAACTCGTTTTTATATAGCTCAGTCGGCGGACCTCACAGCAATTACACACAACAATTAGTTTAAAACTCGTTCATGATTACTCTTAAAAATTAACAAGGCAGACCACGCAATATGCTCCCTGATATGGAGTAAAACAGCATCCACTTATCTTATAGAAGTTGATTTCAGATGCTTTCCAATGCACGCTCGCGCTGCAACTTCATTAATCGCTTGCAAAGTATTTGAATGTTGAGCAGCAACCTCATTGGCTGCTGATGCGACCAATCAGCTGCGCCGTGTAAATAACTGCGTGATTACTAACAGATAAAGGCCCTATCAGCCTGCACCATCTAGAGTTTCATAACAAAACTTTGTATTTATTCTTTTTTATTTATCTTAACACATACTTTCTTTAAAAATTTATATTTACACTTTATTTTAATATATTTTAATTCCAAGTTTGCTGAGGGAGACGCTGTCACAAATGTAATGGTCCTTTTATCTAAATGAATTAAACAAAGAATTTAAAGAGAATAAAGCAAGAAAGATAATAACTTGAATATATGGTGAAGTAATGCATTTGAACCAAATCGAAAATAATATTTTTATTTAAAAATATTCACATTGACTCTTAATCGCCTAAACAGCTCTATTAATGTTTCTTGTCTCTCACATTCAACTTACGAATAACATTAGATTAACTACATTAATGATATAGTGTATTTTCAATTCGTAAACGCAGTTGTAAGATGTTAAACGTTTAGTTATATTTTACCTCACACTCTTTTCAATCATTTTGACATTGACGAGCACTGTTAGACCGCCGAAGCAGAAAACAATTTAATAAAAAAAAATAAAAAAGTTGGCCATATTCCATATGCCATATAATGCTGTTTACGACCCTGGAGCCATTCACTTAGTAGTATTTCATGTGCAACATTATAACTCATTCTGTACATTTGATCACACAGAATGGACAACTCCAGCAGCGCTTAGAGACTGTCCAAAGAGATTTCATCGTCTTCAACAGGGAGAAGTAAGAAATATTTGGACAATTTGTCATGTCCACTTTCATGCAATGTAAAGTAAACATAGTTTCGATAGTTTTAGTAGTAGTAGTGGTAGTAGTAAATAGCCTAACACAGTAGTTAATTTACTCAAAATGCAGTTTTATATGAAACACTTGATTAAAACATTAAATTGCAGGAAATTAATGAATATTCTCGTTTTAAAGGAACGCATAAGAGAAGTAAAAAGGCACTGTTAAAATGTTTTGTCATGTTTTATTTTGTTATTTTCTGTTTTTATTTTCACTTCAGGGAAACTTTTAGTAATTTTGTTGTGTTTCTGTGCTTTTTATTAGAATTTTTTCTCTATATATTAATATTAATTTTAAATTTTCAGTAGCTCAGTAGTTACTTTAGCACATTACCTTAGCTAAATGTAAATGAGAAATGTTGCAAATTAATATTTTATTTCAGTTAACACTTATTTCAAGTAGCAAATTTTTTTTTTTCAGTTTACTGCAATAACCTCGCCTTAAGGTAACAACTGCAGATTCGACTAGATATGTTGTCCTTTCTCTGTTTTGGAGGTTGGGGAAAACCAAAGCAGACACTGAGACAAACAATCTCAATGCAGAAGAGACGAACAAAGCCATTCAAGATGGACAGAACAACAACGTAGAGCAGTGTTTATCAGGCTAACATAAAGGTAATACAATCAAACCTACATCAATATAATAAACAACCTATTCCACGTCAGTCGGTAAATCACTTTAGCCATTGTTATTTGGTGCATCTAACATACAGTATGCTGAACTGTCTTTTTCCATTAAATGAGAGCTTCGAATTCACATGAAAGATATCCAAAAATTATTCCAATACTTTGCGTGATTTAAGAAGAGACATTGTAGCACCTGTTAATCATCTTTCAATAATAACTGATGAATGCAAAAGGAGAAATATCTTTCTTTTCATCATTCATTTTCGCAAGAAATTGTTTCTTTTTCCTTTTTCGATGTTCGGCGTGTTTCAACTATTCCTTCACACGACGGATGCATAATGTTTTTCGTATCTTCAGTGAGACGGATAATGAACTCAGTACAGTATGTGAATATACGAAACTGTCCTGTAATAATATCACTGCATGTTCTTCCTTAACATTCACCTTTATTATACTTCAAAAAAAAAACTGCTCAACACTTTAACTTCATTTACAAAGTAACGTTAACTATCATAATCACAGCTGATGCACGCAAATAAAGCTTATGAGGGAATACAGACGAAGCTCTATGAAACACACGACAGTAGTCCTTCCTTCCCGAACGCAAGCGCCTGGAAAGTTTCCTTTCATAAGCATCGCAGACCATCCAAACGAGAGTTGTTTTTACGGTAATTCTAATGTCTTCTAATTCAGTTTCTCTAAACACACAAATGAACGTGACGCTACACTAAATGCTTGGCTTTCTCAGAGGAGGACTACTGATCTTCAGTCACTCATCAGGAGGAAATCATGGAGGGTAAGGCATGAGTTCAGTGTTTTATGCTTCTTTTGTTTCGTTTCCTGACTAATCACCTTACTTCTACACGGCTGATTTGATCCTGGCCTCTGTCTTACATGCTCTTGATATTTAACTGAGGGAGGTGATGTTGGAGCGGCCACCGGGGGGCACAACGATGCGTCTTCCAGCTGGTCTGATGGGGGCTTCTTCGGGACCTACGGAGAAACACCGAGATATAAAAACAGTCTTCATTAACGCACTAGAAGCCATTAACCAAACCCACCAGCGAATCCCAGCTGATGAAGCAAAACCATTTGTTTTGTGGAAAAAAGACTGTATTTAATGACTTTAATGAGGGAAAGAACTACAATCCCATGAACGAGTGTGAGCTGTGCTTCATCCATCTCACTTCCTGTCAGTGAACATTTGGTTTGCCAGAATTAATGTGAAGTGCATTCAATGTGGAATTAGAAATGCATTAGGAAGTCATTCAGTTTTGGTGTACCTCCATTACTCAAAAAAACACTGACAAAAAGCATATAGGCCTATATACAGTATATACTTTAGAATAACCTAAATTTTGATTTAATAATAATTATTAATAACTAGTGCTGTCAAACGATTAATCGCATCCAAAATAGAAGTTTTTGTTTACATAATATATGTGTGTGTTTATTATGTATATATAAATACGTACACGTACACGCATATATATATTTCAGAAAAATATGTTATGTTTATATGTTACATTTATTTAGATATAAAATATAAGAATATAAATGTATTGTATTTTTAAAATATTTACTGTATGTGTGTATTTATATATACATAATAAATATACACAGTAAACACATATATTATGTAAACAAAAACTTTTATTTTGGATGCGATTAATCGTTTGAAAGCACTATTATTAATATTAATTAATCTTCTCACAAGACAAACATTCAAAACATAATTCAACAATATGTTACTTATCTCTTTTTCTTTTTTTTTGGCCTTTTAAACTTATTTTCACAATAAACTAGAATAGCTATGAAAGCAGAACTGTATAAATAAAGACAACTTTGAAAGAGATTCATGTTTACTGTTTGTTCAAAATATGCATTATATTTTCATTATGTAAAAAAACACTTTCAAACTTGGTTTGCGTCAACCCTGTTACTGAACATTCACAATGTTTTGGGCATGTATTGTTCATGCATATTTCTATAGAGGCCCATTTTTGCCACAAGATAATAAATATCAAATTAAATAAAGTAACTGCAACTTTTTACCACAAAATTCAGTTTTCTTTTTCTTAAGAATTACAAGATATAAACTCACAATTGTAGGATATAAATGTGCAATTCTGAGAAAAAAACTCTGAATTGTGAGATAAAAAATTGCAATTACCTTTTTTATGTTTTATTCCGTGGCAGAAAGTAATATAGAAAAAAATAGAATTGGGAGATATAAACTCTGAATCGTGAGCTGTAAACAAGAAAAAAGTTTATATAAAGTTTTAATGCATTACACTTGTCACTCTAGAAATAAGCAAACATTTTATGGATTAACACTGGGTTCTGCATCTGTTGAATTTCATTCATGCATGTGGCTTTTATCCTAAGCGAATTACATTGCATTCAAGATTTTTCGTTTATCAGTTCATGCATTCCCTGGGAATTAAACCCATGATCTTGGCATTGCTACTGTAGCTGCATGGTCTATTATTTGAGCTACAGGAACTACTTCGTGCCAGAAGTGCATGACCATAAATCATCCCCATCAATAATTTTGCCAGAAAGAAGTCTGCTGTATGAATATGAGACATAATTTTCCAGGGTTACCTGACAGTGTGAAGCCAGACTGGTAGAGGTTCCTTGCAGGGGCTTTAGTGGGTGAGGTACGGGCGGAGGCAGATGGCGTGCCGCCCCTCGACATGGGTGAGAATTCAGACACGGGGCCGTCATACATGCCTCTGGGGACTGCCTTCAGAATGGCCAGCTTTAGGAGAAACCCAAACACAGCGCTTCAGTTCAATACAGGATTGTGCAGCACACCATTTATAGAGAAAGACAGAGTTTGGGTGTTTGCAGTTACATTCCATGGATGTGTTTCTCCTCATGTGGGTTGTTTTTGGGAATTGTGTGCTGAAAATTGTGTTGAAAATTGGTTCCAGATTTGGCTGACAGATTGTTGAGATGGTCAGTCGTGTTGCACTATCATCTCTATTTTGTACAATGTAAGCAAGCTATTTTTGAGATGCGCTGTATTAATACAAACAGTGGACAAAATGCAGGGAGAGGAAAAAACAAACTGTGACTCAACCTAAACTCATCTGAACTGAAAGATGAAAAACATTCAGAGATATATTCAAGGACATCCAAGTTTGTTTCTTCATCAGATTTGGAGAATTGTAGCATTGCATCACTTACGCTCACTTAATGATGGATTTGATCCTTACAAACATGCAGCTTTTGGTTTCTTAAGACATTAATTGATAGACTACTCGTGGATTATTGTGATGTTTTTATCAGCTGTTTGGACTCTCACTCTGACGGCACCCATTCACTGCAGAGCATCCATTGCTGAGACACTAATGCAAATTTGTTCCCATGAAGAAACCATTAATTCCCACCCATGTCATTCCAAACCCATAAGACCCCAAATGAAGATATTTCTGAATAATAATTGTAATGACATTTTAATGATCGGGATAGAATCACTGATTCACATTCATCAAACAAGCATGTCTGAGCTTCTGTTTACCATGATTTATAGATATATGAGCAAATCAGTGTTTTTATGTGAATAAAAAGCCTAAATTAAATGCTTATCACATAAAGCAATTACCTTTTCTTTTTTTTTTTACTTTTTGAAGCTTGAAAATTATATGACTTCCTATGGACGGCCAGAAATCTCTCAGCTTTCATCAAACATATCTTTATTTGTATTTTGACGATGAACCTAAGTCTGATGGGTTTAGTACAGTAAGGGTGAGTGAATGATGACAAAATTTCCATTTTTGCGTGTAATACCTCTTTAAGTGTTATGTTTTCATTTTGAACCATGTGAACACTTTTATGCGGCTTCTTTCTAAACCTTCTGCTTCCTTCTGTCTGCTTTTGGCATGATGGTGGAGCCACAGTTTAAACTGTTTACAGGCCAAGAATCCCATGTCTGCATTCACTCTAGTTGAAACCGCAAAAAAAAATAGATTTGACTTTCCTAGAGGAAGTTACGATAAACTGCAGAACATTGTGGGGGGAAAAAAGAAAACTGGAATGTCACTGGAGTGCTGCCTTGAACGCACTGTAAAACAATGAGCTACTGTCACGCATGTGTCCTGCTGTACCTGTTTCCTGGCTTTGACACGTTTGTAAGCGAAGTCCGGATATGGGGAGCAGGGAATAAAACGTCCAGTGCCAGCGGTCGCGTGCAGGTTCCCGTCCTCCAGAACAATCTTGCCCTGGCAGACGACCAGCATTGGCGCACCTCTCAGCTCCATGCCCTCGAACACATTATACTCCGCTGCCTAGAACAACACGAGAACATCATGCTGAGAAAGCTCATGTACGTAACACCTGTGTCCCAAAAATGACCACTGTAATGCAATGCTTTTGGACCAACTTTGTATTAACTGTCCTTAACTATTACATACATTTAAATTAACCATTTGATGCATTGCAGTTATTGTGCACATACATATTGTACTTATATCTGAAAATACCATCCTGTGATTACATCTGTAAATCATTTCTGTAGTTACTGTATACATCTATAACTGCACTGTTGACCCAACCTCTACCCCTCAAACCTAACCAGACCACCAAACTGGCCCCTAAACTTACTCGCATCCCACCTCAATAGCAGCAAAAAGTGTTTTTGCAATTCTACATGAACACTGTACCTAACAATTAATTATTTTATTATTAAGTACACAGTATTTAAAGATAAGTGGGAACATACTTTTTGTGACGTACTACAGTGTACTACTATGGAACATGGCTGTTTTTGGTCTTTGCTTTTTTGTAATGTGATATTTATATTTTAATCCTTTTTGTGCACATACAGTGCAGTGATATATTTTTAATAGCCTTCAATTTGCACAATGGCTTATTATCATGAATTGCATTTGAAATGCATAAATAAACTGCATTTATTTAAACAAAAGTATAGTAAAAAACAGTAAAACAAGTGAAATATTATTACAATTTAAAA